TAAAAATATTAATTTTCAATATTTCCTTTCGTTGTTTATTTGAGCATTGTATGCAACATGTATGCTAATCAATTTTCTTTTTCATCCATCCATAATAATTAAATAAATAAAAAAATAAATACATTAAAAATACATCCTTTTTTATAATTTATCATTTGACGTCTATAAAAACCAATGTCAAGCATTTGCTCTTAATCTTTTAGATCAAAGCTGCCTCAGATCTGTGTGTGTGTTTGACCATTTGACTGCTTGTGTAAATCGGCATCATTAAAGGAAATGAATGACGACTGATATTCGAAGAGCACTCCTCTGAAATGTTCACTTTACTCTAACGCTACATGACAGCTTCGATGTGTAAGGGCAGATAAGGGAATAATTTCCTTCCATAAACTACTTCTTCATTCACTGCTGGTTAGCACTCCATCAAGATAAGTAAAGGCGGTTACAATAGCCCTATTCAGTCCTAACCGAGCCATTGATAACCGTTCAAACAAGATCAAACGTGAGAAAATAAGCGACGCTTTGTGTACTCTGTATTGTTTACCTGACCAATATACTGGTTTGAGAGAAGAGAGATTTACAGTGAGATTGTGTTGTGTTTGTCTTGTGTGAGTCTTGTGATGATGTTTGCTGGTTGAGTTACTGGTGCTACGGGTTTGGATGCAAACTAAGTAGGCAAAAGATGACATCATTGCTTTGCCTAGCAAACGAATGTGTTGACAGCACAGTATCAGGTTTGTTTTATAAACCTTTCTGTGTACAGTGATGCTGGTGTGTATGTGGTGCGCTCAAGAGCGTAGTCTTGCTAACTGTTACTCATTAATTGACTTGTATTAATCATTTTTAATACCCTTTTCATACACACTCACACAAACCGCACACACACACATACAGTACATTATGTAGTGTATATACCTCCATGGCATGTGGTTGAAGTTTGAAAGCATTCAATAGCTGAAATGTATATCCTGAATAATAAAAAGTAAATAGTTAACATAGTGTAATATTAACATAGTGTAACATTACTACTAACAAAATAATAATAATAATAATAATAATAATAATAATATTAATATGTATATGTATATAATAAAAAATAACCTATTCTTTCCCATAAAAGTGATATTACTGATCCTACACACATGAGCTTGTTAAAAATGCTAATTTCAGAAGAAAATTTTAGATGGCATTTAGAAGTTTTTGCATCTGAACTTCTTATATATAGACCATTTCAATATGGTGATATCATTGTTCCATTAACAGTTGCTTGTCGTCAAACTATTTCAGAACTGTAACAAGAGGTGATTCAGTCATAACTAATGTTAACACAGCTATCATTAAAAATGTATCAATATGTGGAGGTTTCGGGATTCGTTGAAGCTGTGGAAATTAAAAATGTAAAACAGGAAATACATATTTATGTATTAATAACATTGTAGGATATGTAGGAAATAACATTGTTATTGTTTATATCCCTCAAAATGGTGTATATATATATATACATATTAATCTCAGAATTAATCTAAATTAATCTAGATTAAATTAGCTCGTTTGAATTCTGATGAAGGCATTTAGAATATGTGTGCCACCAAAATAATATGTCTTTGAGAACGGGTCTCTCAAGCAAGGTCGCGCATTAGACCAGGGGTTCATCTCCTGTTTCCAAAATGCATCACAAACTGCTTGAGAAACTGTTCTACTATGACAATAGGTGATGAAAATAAATGATGTTCAAAAAAATGTACTTGTGTTTACTAACTGTTTATTCAGTTAGATATGAATTTTAAACTGTTGGCCTACATAAGCTCCAAACAGTGATTTTTGATCACCTTAATCCGACTAAAGTCATAACTGAACTTAACAGAAATGGAATTAAGACATGTGGAGTATGCAAATATTAGTGCCATTATTGAAGTAAACACCACGATCAAACTATTACCGTCATTTAAGACTTTTTGTCATATTTTCGGACAAGATCCACACACATGGCTGTCAGTAAAGGGCCGCACACACTCACAAACACACACGCACACATCGCGAAATTCTGAATTTTTTTCTTTCCGTTTGCCATGGGTTATTAAATTCCAAAATACTCTCACCCTTACTCCTTATTTGTGTCTAATACCCCTGTTTGTCACGAGGGCATGCATTAAATGTTCATGAGTTGAAGTGAAACTGTCGAACTGCAGTTAAAGTCAGGCATCCTGCTGGTTTGATTCACAAGGGCACTTTTTCGTCAGACGGCTCACTGGTCATGTATACATCTGCGCTAAAATATCAAGGTGAAAGTCAACATAACTTGTATAGAACAGACCCAGCTCTTAACCCAAATTTGAGAATAGATTCACGGCGATGTTTTTTTATTTTTTTATTATTTTTTTGATCGCACAATAAGAGTCTTGCGTAAATATATATATATATATATATATATATATATA